CTAGGACATCTGAAAAATCTGTTAAGCCAGACTCATCACTGGTCTTCATCCTCCTCAAATCATACGGGTGAGGAGGAACAGTGAAGCCATCCCCTCGAAGGGGAATGAAAGAATTAAAACCACTTCCAGATATGCTGACAGCTGCCTTGATGCCAGGTAGAAATGTGGCCATGGAAAGGGCTAGATCAGCTCCTTTAGACAAGCCCAAAACGCCAATCCCAGTATCCTTCACCTGAAACACAGTTATGAAACAACCATTATCAACTACTACTCATTTCCTGGGCTGGCATGACGTCTCCAGTTCTGCTTCCTCACTCCTCATGCAACTAAAATGGCTCATACCTTACACCTTACCTCTCTCTATTCAGGTTACATCACTCCCATTTCCATCCCTTTGCTGAGCCTCCACAAGACTGACTCTGAATTCTACAGCTCCTCAACATTTCTTCTCCTGTAACACTTTCTTTCCTGGTGACTTCTACAGACAAAGCCTCTTTGCTTCCTCCACACCCTGGCTAGACACTTGCTCTCGGTATTGTATCTTTTACTGCTCCTGCCTCCAAACCCTCTCAATCTTCTCTCCTCCAGTTCCCTTTGGAAAACCACTTTTTCATGGATTTACTTGCATTGATTTTCTTTCATGCTGTTGTTTTTTGATGCTCTCTTACAGCTGACGTGTTATCTTCCGTTTTGTCTTGGAACACATAAGGTTCATTACACCTGAGGCTGAGTAAGCCCAGCTTCTAACTGGTTAAATCAACTTATTTACAGTGAGACCTCTTCACAGCAAATTCATTTTTAATGTGTGTCTTGAAACTCTGGAAGTTTCAGGGCTCCATGAGGAACAAGACAAACAAGGAAGGCTGAATTCTGCTCTCCCTTGGCTACATTCCTGGTGTCCATGTGCCAGAAAATAAATAACTTTGTGAAATGAATACCACATTAAGTAGCATTCCATTCAAAGTTTTAATGCTACTTGATTTCTCTTGGTCTCTTTTGGTTTAAGTATGATGATACATTGCTATGAAGTGTCCTTCTCATCCCACATACTTGTTCAAATATAGCCCCAGCTTCTTAAGACATGGCACACTCTCAAGTGCTATGACTGTAAGGGATTCTGTTGTTAAAGTGTTTTATTACTGTCTTGTGAAACTTACTCAGACTCAAAAGCCTGTAACATTTCAGAAATGGTAGAAAATGGCAATGGATTTTTTTCCCCCTTCTAAAATCTTGAAAGATGCAAAAGTAGGGGAGGCGGAAAAAAAGCAGTTTTCTGCTTCTATTCCAGGAATTCCTTTGATTTAATCTTATACAAACACTGGTTGGCAAAACATTCTATGGACTGTCATAAAGTGCTGTGCAAAACCAGCTATCCAACTACTTGCAAAATTGGAATTGAGGCACCTGCTTTTCCATCTCTCAGATCATGCTGTCTTTCAGACAATGCTGTCTCCTTCTAACATTTCAGAAACTTAGTTGCATTCATGGACATATAGTGTTTCACATTAGAAAATTGGAAAATAGCTTCTAACAGAATGAGCACCATAATTTGTCTCTTACCTGCTGCTGCTTCCGTAAAAAGTTTACAGCTTCCTCAAAATAGCTCAGTTCAAGAATCTCTGGCATAGCAGGGAGATCTTCAAAAGCCATGTAAGCAAGAGCCAGAGTCACAAAGCCTCTGCTAGCCAGAAGACTTGCTCTGTATTCAACAAGACCTCCTCCAGATCCGTACAAATCAATAAGTCCGGGGAATGGACCAGGTCCTGCAATGAAAGGTATATATATATACACTCAAAGTTTCTGCAGTTGTCCTTTCAGTAGTGCTCCCTCAGTGTACATCAGGACAGTAAGTATCAAAAGGAAATCATCCACTGAAGCTTTCCGTGAAGAATCTCATTCTCAGGCACACATACAATCACTGTAAGGACACTAACTTGGATATTTCTCTCTCTTAGGAACTCACTATAGGAAGTTCATATGTTGGACCTCCTTCTCCTACCATGAATTCCAGCTGAAATTGGCCTAGATGTTCTCAGGCTACTGGGCATTGACGAACAAACAGTAGTGCTCCATGAGCTGCATTTCTTTAGGAACTGTGCTAGCAGATTTTCCAGGGAGAGAATACCTGAGTTCTGAAATGCACCCACAAACTCCAGCACTGACCTCTGGCATTTTCAGGCTTTCAGTCTCATCTGGGTAATCACCCCTGGGCTTCTCAGTTCTCCTCCTGCAGCCGTAGGATCTTCCTTTGCTGCTGCTGCTCTGCCCATTCTTATAGCCAGACTTCCCTTAAAAGATTTGGTGTCACAGCAGCTGCAATGAACTTTTTATTCATTACAGAGCAAGATATTCACATTTAAGTACTGCTCAAGGAACATAAACAGTTCAGGGCTCAGAGCAGCTTTACACAAGATCCAGTCTCGGCATTGTCCCCGTATGGAGCTGTGGAATATGACATCTGTTTAATTAAAGACCTTGCTTTTCTCATTTGTCTCCCATCTTCCTAAGTATCCCATGCAGTCAAGCTGCTCAACCAGGTAACGACTTCCTTCTTCGGCTTTTCCTTAGCCAGAGAGAGAGACAGAGAGACAAGTCCAGAGCCTGCAAGAAGATTGGAGCAGCCAGATGGCTGCAAGCCGAGCCCAGTGCTCCCACCACACCTCGTCATTCCTCACTCCACGGCCAGAGCTGTCACACCTCACAGCTCTGCTGAAGTCCAGGGGCCTCTTTGTCCTATCAGCTAAGCAGAAGAGCTAAGAAATAAACACTCTTTTCCTCAGAGCTCTCACCACCAGGAGAGGTCCTGGCCTCCCTCAGCTACAGAAAACAGGACATGCCTCTTGTTACCATTGCTGCCCTCCCTTCACACCCCTGCCTTGGCACTTGACCCGCCTGGGCAACGCCTGCTCCTCCCTGCTCTGCTGTGAGGATCCAAGTAGCTGGAGCAAGCACAGGCAGCGGGAAGCATTAGCTGAGGCTTTGCTCTGTGTTCCCAAGTGCATCCAGGGGTCACGGGGCAATACATGGTATGTCACACCTGGAAAACCAGAATGGAATTAAAACTCACCAGGAGGGAGGAAGAGGGTTGCTTTGAGATGACCTTCTCTGACTGAAATCCTCTTCACTCCCTCTCCTAAAAAACATCGTTCATTGGTGCATTTTCCCAGCAATCGGCTCATGTCCCCATGGCCCTCATACACTTCCAAGTCCACACAGAAAGGGGTCAGGACGTTCCGCTTTGCCAGCCGCTTATAGGGCGATTTAGACTGCAGAGACCACAGCAGCCCCATCGGTTCCACTCCTGAATAGCTGCCCCCCAGCGCAGGGGAGCGGCTGAGGTCGAGCTCTCCGTTGCTCCCAGCTCTGTAGCGAGCGTGGGCTTGGAAAAGCTCCCCACTCTCGTCCACCAAGCTGGCTCGGAGGGTGACCTCCTGCTGCGGCAGGAGACCC